GTCTATGCCAACAGCCATTAAGGCCAGCAATCCCAGGACACTTCAAACCCTGGCCCAAATAAAATGTCCACGAAAGCACCCCTCTCAGAGTCAAGACCCCACCTGGCTCCAGTGAGCAGTCACAGTTTTCTTTAGGAGGCATCCTTTGTGTGAGACCAGCTTCTGTAACTGTTTTAGGTCAAGACTTCTTGAACTGTGGGTCTTCCACCACCCTTCCATCTCCCATCACCTCTGCAAATCCCTCTCCTCTCCCTACACTGGCAGAAAAAGGAGCATAGCATTCTTCCACAAGCACCTGGCCCCTTCCACACCCCAGCAACCCTGTCACCCACACACCCAGGAGCTCAGCCGAGGACATGCTCAAGGAAAGGCCCCTTACAGATGGGCTGAAAGGTCCACAGCCCATGGCCACTAGACCCAAAGTCCCTCTGATGACACAGATACCAGGAAGTCCACAGTTAATGTGTCCTTCTCACATACTCTAAGAAGGCTCTGATAGAAAAGCTACCTCAAAGATACACGCCAGCCCACAACCTAGTTTAGGTAATAAAGAGCATTCCAGAGAATTCCAGAGAAAGCCCACCAGAATTTTCTCCTCCTTTCGCGTGCTCAGGCACTCTAAAAGCCTGTTGCTTTCCTTCGCCAGTGTGCAGCTCCCCAGCTGTATGTGTGCAGGGGTGGAATATTTAAGATCCACAGCTTGGGGCAAGCTGTCTGGTTTTCAGACAGCCCCTTTGATTTACGACCCTGTGGTTAAATCAGTTTGGGATTTTGGAGAAAGACCAATTCCATTTGCTTACAAGTCTGATCCTGAGGCTCTGGCGTTTCTAACGACCCTGGCAGTCATTTGCTTTTAATTACCATTTGATTCCATCACTGAAAGAATGAGCCCAGCCACCACCCTTCAGCTGCAGGTTCTGAAGAACCCAGGCCAGGGGACAGCTGCCCTGGTGTCCACTCGATCCAGGCACAGCATCTGCTTGCAGCGTTATTTCCGCTTGATTTTTTTTTTTTTTAATGAAGAGTAGCCAATTTTCATACTGAAAGAACCCTCCCAGGGCACCTGAATCTCTTCAAACATAATTTATTTGCCAAAGGACTGTGAACCTCACAGCAAAGCTGCATAAAGCTTAGAAAAACAAGTAGACTTAAAGTTCCTATTTTTACATGGTGTCCTGTTTCCAGAGGGGCTGAGACTCGTGGTTTCAAACTCAATTTAGCATTTAAACTAATTTTCAGCCAGGTCTCTATGGACCGGCAATTAGGGAAGGCGAAGAGTTCAAAGGAAGAGGCTCCAGCCCTCCTGGGCAGGCCCGTGCAGCCTTTGAAGATGCCCTCCCACCCCTTCCCCTGTGTCGGCCTCGGCCACAGCCACAGCGGCTCAGACACCCTGCTGCTGCAGTGCCCAGCACCCGCAGAGACACCACCAGCCACATGCACGTGCTCCTTCTCGTAGCTGTCCTGGGGAAGGATCTAAAAACTTCCTGAAGACGCCGCTGCACACTGCAGGCCAAAAGGTACAGGGCGAAGGACGACAAGAGAAGAATGGCCCCTTTCAGTTCCAGAGCCACGCAGCCTCCGACGAGCCCCCGCCACCCTGGCTGGGCAGCTGCGCAGGCTGCGGAAGCCTGGGTCCTCCTCCCGGCTGCCGTCCTCTCCATCTGCGGCCACAGCAGTCCTCTGCGCCTCACTGTCCTAGCCGGGCTTTTTCTTTTTTCTTTTTTTTTAAATTTTAATTTTGTATGGTGACTGTGTTTAAATAATAAAGAGCATGGTGCAAACTGCGAAAGGCATGAGAGTGAGCCTCTGTCCGACCCTCCCCAGCTGTCCAGTTCCCTTCCTCAAAGGCAATCACTGCTGACTTCCCTAGGTGCCCTTCCAGATATACTCAATTCCTTTGCAAGCCCTTCCAGAAATACTCAATTCCTTTGCAAGCCTATCTTTTTCTTCATCTTTTATTATTAGTTTTATGCAAATGGTATATTATTCACGCTATTCTGTACCTTAAAAAAAAAATAACAGTATGTCCTGGATCATACCTAAGGTCCTAAAGTTCTTCTCACCCTTAGCTTTTGTGGGAAAAGGCCTAGTGTTCAAAGAGTCTACTTCTTAGTCTCAGTAAATGTTCCCACACCGCCCTAGCAGAGAGGGAGGAGAAAATGAGAGTAAGCGTTTTGAGGTCAGGCATTGTGAAGCCCGCCGACGTCCCCGGTCAATGTCGTTCTCCTTCCTCCATGAGCCAACAGCCCAGAAGTGCTTCTTACTGCAGGCCAGTGGGAACTTAGGCAAGGAGACTCTCCAGATGCCAGCTAGCACATGAACCCATTGATTCTTATATTCTTCCCATTTTATATATATAAAAAAAACAAAAAAAAAACAACTAAGGCTCCCAGAGGTCAGATGGCTACCAACACCCTACAGCTGGTTATGGCAGAACTGAATTCCACACTGGGCTACCATTTCCAAAGTCTGTGTTCTTGCCAATTTATCCAGACAGTGTTAGGGAAAAAAAAACTCTCTTAAGTTTTGTTTATAAAAACTCTAAACAGGTAGGCTTTACAACTGCCATCCTTAATTCCCATGCCAATATTTAATAGCTCCCACTTTCAAGACATTTTCCCTCCAGGAGCCACAGTGTGTGCTCTTCCAACAGACAGGCTGTTTAGGGAGGGACACTGAGCAGAATGAAGTCCCTCGCCTGGACCAGGGAGTGGGTGGGAGGGAATGCACCGGAGCCACGGGCCTAGGGATGCTGCTTTGCCAATTTAGAGCCCCTGTGAGGGGCCTCCCTGCTGGAAGAACGACAGTGAGCTGAGGGGAAGAGACAGGTAGGAAGAAAGAGGTGGTGATGGTTAATCGTCTTTCTATATATACCAAAAAGAGCTCACAGAGACCACGCAGGTGCATGCAGGTGAGGAAAGGGAGCCTGAACCTGAGTCAGTGCAAATGATCAGCTCAAGGCCAGGGACAGAGCAGACGTCCCCCGGTCACTGGGCTGGCTCTGGCCCCAGCAAGTTCCCTGGCGCACCTTCCTCCTCTGGGAGCCATTCAGTCTCCTCACTCAGACCCCTGATGCACCTTTTTGGCTGTTTTTCTGCTCATTAGTGTCTCTGCTGGAGGGGAGCAGGGGATGAAAAGGCTGTGCCTGCTTAGCAGCTCTTCACAAAGGTTGGGGTGAGTTGGGGGATGCTCTTGGCTAACGTGAGGTTTCTGGATTATCTGTGGATCATTTTCATTCAAGCCATTTGTACCTCCCATTACCGAGATCATTTGAAAGTTGGCCAGACTGTACTCAGAGGAAGCCAAAAGTAGGAATGAAAATCTCCTTTCTCTATCACCATCTCAAACCAGAGATTCCAAGGGAAGTGCTATGTAGCTTCAGTGTTCAACGCTGACACTGGAGAATGCTACCACCTGGAATGGTCCCAAAATGGAATTGGAAGCCCATTTTTCCTATCTATTTTCCCCAGAGATCCACTGAAGCCAGGCACGGCGCTGGCGAGCAGATTCTCCTCTTCTGCCTCTGCTGGAGAATCAAGTCATTGAAGGGGCAGAGCTTCTAAGAGAACATCTGGGGTCACAGACAGCTGCCGCGAGAAGACGGGCCCCAGAGGCGGCCCCTCCCTCCTGCTCTAGCTCATCTCGCCTCTTCTGCACATTGGAAACTTACAAGGCAGAACAGAGTAGACCTGCCTCCTATTCTGTGTTGGACCAACCCCCAGAGCACTCAGTCCTGCTGGCAATGTGCCCAAGCATAGCACAGGGAGCGGCAGGGAGCCCGGGTCTGAGGGCACTGGTCCCTCGGTGGGACTGTCTTCACACGGGACGCAGCCCTGCTGAGATGCATCCAGAGGAAGCAGCTTCTGCCAACGGGCTTGCTCAGCAGATCCTCCAGTTATAATAAAGGCTACTCTCATTACCTGCGTCTTCGGAAGAGGAAGTATTGTGACATCTCGATTAGTTATGAATAAGCTCAAGGACTACTAAGAAAGAAGAACATTTTTAAAAAAACAAATAAATTGCCAAACAAGAGCCAAACAGGGTCTGCAATGGGAGGGCCACTCTTCCAGAGCATTGCACACAGCAGACCGGGAGGGCAGGGGACACTCCTTGCCCTGGCTGACTAGAGCCCAGCGCCCCTCCCAGCCTCGACTGCACACACTCCTGCGCTGGGAACGGCTGAGTTACGGACTGACATGTATTCTGAGCTTGTGGGAGGGAAATGCCTGGTGAATTCCAAGTGTCACTGCTGGAACATCAGTCACGAAACGAATATTACAAGGACTCAATTGCTCCCTGCCTTCCTCACTCCTCTCTTCTGATCACAGTCACTTTACATTTTGGTTAGCAAAACAGAAAGAACATGATTTCTGGAGAAAAGAGCTTCAAGTTCAAGTTCAGCACTGAAACTCACTAACCCCATGACCTTGGGCAGCAGCCCTAACCCCTCGGACCTCAGCTGCCTCCTTCTGCCTCAGAGGGTCGCTGTGGACAGGAAGTAGTCTGTGATGTCCGCAGCCCTGGGCAAACCACCCTCAGCTTCCCCTTTCTGTCCCTCTCCCTCCTGCAGGGCTGGGGTCACTGCTATCACTTGGTGTCTTTTCCAAATGTGGGGCAACATCTCCACATTTCCTTCATGCTTCCCTCTTAGAGGCACAAAGAGGTTCCTAGGAAATCAGAGCTGAAAGGAGCCCTAGAAATGTCTAGGACAATCACCCCACACCACCACCCACTTCAGAGAGGAAAACCAAGGCCCCAGATCACAGAGCAAGTCGGCGGTAGACGCAGCTCTCCTGACCAGCTACACGTCCCGCCCGGCCTCCCACATCTCCTCTCACTCACAGCAGCCCCATTATGGCCTGCCCCTCTGCAACGCAGAATCCTCCCCCTTTCACGGGTCCCCTCAGACCTCTGCGAAGTACCTTTACAAATGATCACCCATTTTACTTAACAAAGAGGAGACCAAAGGGTTCTGGGGGGCAGTCAGCTGAAACGTGTACCTTGGCACTTTGCAGGGGGGGCTGGTAACTGGATGGCCGGTAAAACATCCTCTGGCTGGCATCAGTGTGAATGTCACCGAGGAAGAGCTCCTCAACAAGGTGGTCCAGGTTGTGGTGCAGATACTGCTTCTCCACCCGGATGAGCTGAAGCTCGTGCATGGCAAAGTTCACGGCCTTGGTGCACTCACAGCCACCCTCCTCCCGCCACAGGTCGTAGGCCACATCCTGTGCCCAGGCATCCCCAGCTGCCAGGAAACCCGGGCATGTGTGGTTCACCAGCTGGCTGAGCTTCTCAGCCACCGCCTCCGTGTGGCAGATGACCTGGACATTGTGCAGCTGGTAGTCGGCTTCTGTGCCCCCTCGAATGATCCAGGACGCTTGGCGGAGGCGGATCTTGCCCCGGATGATGAGGGTGTAGGTGGGACTGGTGCAGCGGTTGCTGCCATAGTAGAACTGGTAGGCCTTGAAGGTGTTATTGTGGTAGAATCTGTAGGACCTTGTGATGAACTCTGGGCCTGACCTTACCTCACAGCTGAAAAAGAGAAGGGGAAAGAGAGACCTTTTTAAGCCCAAAGCCATGAGGAAGAGATTAATGATGGTGGAAACAAATTAGAGTAGTAATAACAAAATGCTTGCTACAGGCCAGGTGCTGTTCTAAGCCCTCTACTCATTGAATCCTCACAACTCTAAGTTAGGTATATGATCACCCACATTTTACAGATGGGGAAACCCAAGCACAAGGTTAGGTCACATGCTCAAGGTCACCTAACCAGCAAGTATGAGAGCCAGATTGTGAATCCAGGCAGCCTGGCTCCAGTGGTATGTTTCCAGTCACCTGACACCAGAAAGCCTTTCACTCATCGTGTGAACAGGCCAGGACAGCAGACATGCCATCCTCAGTTTCACCTGTGGGCCTAGCTCACATAGAAATTTCTTTCTTTCTCGATAAGAAAGAAGAGTGTAGTACTGACCTACCAAAGAAGTTCCCTTATGCTAATTCAAAAACAGGTGATTTCCTGACACTTGCATTTTATGGACCTTGTCTAGGGCAGGCAGGTGTAAGATGCCCATCACCCTGAAATGGATCTAGTCTCAAGGAGGCGTCACCTCGTGGCAAATGGATATTTGCCCTCCCGTGCATTCAAAATTAATTATCCCTTTAGCAGAGAAATAAAGGAGCAATTAAGTAAAAGCAGAGCTAACACAACAACAGAAAGAAGGGTTCCTTTTGTTTGCGCAGGATGACAACGAGAAAATGTCCTTTGCCATTGCATTCGGTAAGTGCTAGTTTCCTAAGCCAGAAACACTTAGGCTGAATCATCAGAGCATGAAATGGGTGGGCTCTCACGCTGCTGTAACTGTCATGGACTCAACCTACACAGCAGAGCCTGTGGCATGGAAGGGGCAGCTCTTGAAGCATTTGTTAGGTCCTCACCTCAGTTACGTCACGACTCCGCCCCTCAGTTTCTGGCCTTCTAACTCTCCCCATCCACAACGTTAACAGAGCATCTGCCTGAGCTGACACAACACGGCCAAACCAAGCAGTCAGGCACACAGGTGGTTCTTAAACTTGCTAACATTCTAACTTTTTAGTTAACGTATTGGTGAAAGATAAACGCTATTTAGAAGCGGGTACCTTTTGCTATGTAAAGTTTGGCCACTGATGTCGAATACTTTCAGCATCCGTAATCTGAGAAAAAGGAGGGAGAGGATACCCCAAGATGTCTCCCCCAGGGTAAGAGAAGTTTAGTGAAAGCAGTGACTAGTGTCACTTGAGGGTAGAAAGAAGTTCCATTATTTCAAATCTTAGTTACTAAGCACCAACCATCTGCTGGTTCTCCTTCCCAAGCACAGTGGATCTCAGGGCCGCCCGTCTCTCCATCACCCCTGCCACTCCACGTGCCTGAGCCTCCAATGGCTCCAGTCCAAACTACCGCAATAGCCTCTAACTGCTCAGCCCCACATCACGTTTGCACACAGCAGCCAGGCTGCCCTTTAATAATGCTGAATCATATTTTCAGCACGGCCCCTAAGATGACTTTCCAGTTCTCTTAGATTAGGAGGAGTCCTGGTCTGCAAGGGACCCTCGAACTGGCCCGCCCTCCTCTGCAGCCTCTTCTGGGGCTGTTCCCTGCTGGTTTACTACGCCCTGGCCACACAGCTCTTGGTCAGGTGGTCCTCCAATCTAGCCAGGCTCTCCCTACCCTGCATGTGGCCTGGCCTTTGCTGGTCTTCTTGGTAGAAAGCTCTTCCCGCTGTCTTTGCACAACCAATCGTGTCTCAGCTCAAGGGGCCCCTTCTTGGGCAGACTTTCTGGACCCCTTCCTGATTCTAAAATAGAGCCCCCTGGTACTCTCTTTCAACACCTATTGCCCCATCCTCCTTTTTACAATACTTCTGTGTTATTTGTAAAATCCCTGAAGGTAGGGACCGTATCTGTTTTGTTCACTGCTATATACATAAAATCTAGAATAGTGCTTGGACACAGTAGGCATTCAGTAAATATTTATTATTGAATAGCATGATAAATAATTTTAAAGCACATAGCATTAAGGTTGTTTATGCAATTTTATCATGCAGTTATTTTGAGAGACCCCATTTAAGAAAAAAATTGAGGCTTCATCATCTTATGAAATTTCTTCTTTGTCTTCTCCATATTCATTTGATCCCTCCCCAAGGTACCCAGAGGCTGCTCTCCATATCCCAGGAATAGTACACAGGGAGAAGTGATCAGATCCCACAGTTAGTCTTGTTAATTCTCAACAATTTAATGGGTAGAAAAAAAATCACAGATCTGCCTCTAGGCTATTTTTAAAAGCTCTAATGGAAGATAAGCCAGAGCTCAAACTGGGATAAATCTCAGCTTCACAACATGGAAAAGTATCCAAGAACTATGCCCTGGCTAGTAGAGCTAGCTTTTAACTTACTCTTAGAACCCTGAAGCCATATATTAAATTACCAGAATATGGCTAGAATATTTAGACCATAAGAAGCTTGCAAGTCATGTTTCAGAGTTGGTGAAACACAGACTCTTAATTTCACTTGCTAATGGTTTCTTTTTATACACAAGTGGTCCCACAGAGTTCAGTAAACAAGGATCTATTCACTCATACTGTGTGCCGGACAGTGGTACAATATAATCTCTGCTTTAGCATACGATTTCTACAGTACTTAGCTCTGTTTAATAATTTCAAAGATTTGCTTGGTTCTTAGTTAGAACTTAGACAACACCTAAATCACTGAGATTATATAAAGTCTCTGTGCATATGAGGAACCATTAAGAAGGGTCTTCTGTAGACGTGTGCTCTCTGGCACCACCCGGGCCCCACTCCACCCTGGATGCTCTTACCCTGTGGACACCCAGTGGCCCTCAATCGTAGGCGGCATCTGCACGGTGATCCGTGCTCCATTGTGGAGATGTTTGAGCATGTGATGGCACTGGGATTCCTTGAAAGCCCTCCAGGCACTTTTCTCTAAGGACCTAGGATGGGATCTGCTGTCTGGATGAAGGAAGGCAGAACCCTCTCCCAGCCCTGAAAAAGAAGAGTGGAAAGTTAGCCAAAAGGAGAACTAGCAGCAGACGTGAACCAGGCCAAGCAACTGCCTCGGCAGCACGGAGCAGCCGCAGGTGGGAGATGCACGCTCAGTTGACCAGGTCTTATCACTGTGCTTGCTCTCTGAGGATGCACATTCCAGAGTGGGGCTGTCCTTGGGGCTCATTTTCCAGGTGAGAAATTGAAGTCCACATAGATAATGTGCATGACTCACTTGAGGTCACTTGGCTGGTTCCTGGCAAAGCCAGAGCTCAAATCCATGCATCTTGCAAACCTAAGGCTGTGCATCTAAGTATATAACTGTGGTATAGGCAAGTAAATGTAGCGGGTTGTAGAAGAGAGAAATGGACACATTCTAGAGTCATTAAAGAGGAGACGAAGTTGAAGGGAGAGGTGAGAGAGGGGTCATCAGGAAGGGTGGATGTACATGCACAGTGACACATTTAGGTAAGGCAGGGAAAGAGCAAGGAGACCGGCCTCAGTGAAAACGCAGCCTGTGCAGAGATGGAAGGGGAAAGGTCCAGGGAACAGCTCAGAAGACTCCAGCTGGGATCTGCTCCCTGGCCAGGCTCCCACCTGCGCTCACCAAGTCATGCACCTTCTGGTTCTCTTGGTCTCAAGTGGATGCCCTCTCCAGGGCTGCTCACCACAGGGGTGAGAGCCATACTTCCTCCTACAAGAGGAAATGGTGTGAACTTTCCCCCAGGTATCTTCTAAGTCTAGCTCCTCACCCCCACAAAGCCAGAAACAAGCTCAACAGATGATATAGAGTTTTTAATAAAGAACAATTTTAAGAAGATTGCACATTTTATTTCTCAGGAATAAGGAAATACTAGGACTAAGTTTATCTTCAGTACAAGTAGTTTAGGTTGGCCAAAATTTACCCATGCAAAACTTCCACCAGCCTAATAAAGCAATGAAAACAAGTGGAGCTATAATCTGAAAGCTCACTGTCTTCTTTGAGACTCACTCCTGAAGTGCTTAACAAATCAATAGGTCTTTACAGTGATCCTACTATGTATTTAGCACCGTGTTAACAAAAAACACTAGTTAGACAAATGTACAGAAATTTTTTTAAAAAGTCAAAATACATAAAACACACCTGCTAGAATGCTACTTATGCTTATGAGGAGGCAATTATGTATATTTTTAGTCAATACCTAAATAACTTCATAGTTTATGAGAGACATAAAAACTTCATATAACTTCACGGCTTATGAGAGAGTATTTGAACATGAAAAGTTAGATCCAGAACATAGTGACTTACAGCAACATGATAAAAATCTACCTGGATATACCTAGACTTGAAGATGGATAACATTAAGAAATCTATAAATTATTCAGACACTTGCCATCATGTGGCCAAAACATTCAGACGACTGAACTAATTTTTGATGGAAAGTCCTGGCATTGAGTGGTCTTGGTGTACGTGAGCTCTCAGGCTTCTCTTCTGAGTGAGACACTGGCCTCGGGATGGAACAACAGTTTCTGATCTCGCAGATCTCACATGCAATCAAGGGCAATGAGGCAAAGATACCCATGTGTATTACTCAACTAAATGAAAATTGTGAAAAGATGATTGTGCCATGTTCAAATTAAATGTAACTTCACCACCAGCCCCATTTAGGCAAGTCCACTGATTCTGGGCTCAGCTAGAAGGAGGGAAACACTAAAAATGAGAAGGCTCTGCTTAGTGGTGTCACGCCTCATGGTTGTGGGTATTCAGCAAGGCCTCCCTTCCTGCGGCCTCGCTTTCTACCAAGGGAAAGCATTTCCTCTGGAGCAGCACCCTGGGGTGGCCCTGTCCCTCATCCAGCCTCCCCAGGGGAAGGGGCACAAGCGTAGGAGGAAGCAAGCAGGCTTGACCAGGCCATCTTTCTCCTTCTCTTTTCAAAACCAGCCTGTTGACAAACTATGTGCATTTGATCAGCTCCGCCCATGCAGCAAGGACCCTGCCCCTTCAGTTGCTCAGCTGTGGCACTGGGCCAGGCGGAAAACATGAAAAATTCAGGGTGAACCATTAGCGATCCTGACATGGGCACCATCTGCACTGTGTCTTCTGCTCCAGTGTTTATCACTATTGTAACATTGTCATCCCCACTGGTCTGACACCGTGTTGATCTCTTAGCTACTTCTGAACTACAGTAAGGGAGAGGGCACTATTCATCATACTTCTGCCAACCCCAGTAGTTATAATCATCTTGATTACAGTAGGCATTTCCTCAGCTTCCCTGTTAGGCGAGCAAGGAATGAAATGTAGGACAGCATGCTGTCTAGTGGGCCAGTGGTGTGATCAATTACAATGTGGCTAACTTAAAATAGATTTTAATTACAGTCACAAGTCATTGGGAGTTGGGGAATATTCTGCTTCAAATATGACATGAAGCATTCAGTAAAGATGACATCATCTCACTGTCAACCAAGCTGCATTCTAAAACCTGATTTGTAAACCCCCTTACACTCTGCAAATGTTTTCCCATAAAGATAACAAAAGCCAGGAGTGGAGTGAATATTGGTGAAATCTCCAAAGTTAGGCTGCCTGGGTTTGAAACTGGATCTGCCACTTAAAGGATTTCATTGAATCCGAGACTTCAATGATTGTTAAGATGCATCACTATTTTATAATCAGTGAAAAGAATGCTTGCATTTAAAGGATGACACATGCCTTCACAACAGCCCTGGGGTGCCCATGGATCACACAAGGCAGCCTCCAATGGCTTTGACATTTCTTTTATCTATTCAAAGAGATCTGGTAATTTCTCTTGCCTTCAGTGGCTTTGCTTCATGTGTGACAGGTTATCCATTCGCTCTGCAAGAATCTCAGTAACAAGACACAAACATGGCCTCATCTTTTTGCAGGTATCCTCCTTTCCAAGTAATTGATTGATGCTGTGTGAGAAAATATGGAATTGGGGTTATTCTTCCAGTGATAAATGTTTGCTTCCCTAATGTCAAATTAAAACTCCACTGCTCTGTTAACAAGGTCTGATTTTCACAGTGGTTTTTCTTTTCATTGCTGAGAGGGTAATTATAAGTGAGTTATGGAGAAAAACCAAGCGTGCCGACTCAAATGTTTACTCTCTCAATTTTCAAGCCAGCTATTTGCAATGAAGCTCAAGATACAGAGTACCAAGGAAGTGACATGAGGACAACAGGAGCGTCTGAGTCCAGCTTCACATAGGCAAAGGCAATGTCACACCTCGTGACTGCTGCCTGCAGGCCAACAGGGACTGCAGTTCCCATCAACCCTGAGATGCACAGCCCACCCACTGAAAGATCTGAACGTGGGGAAAAAAATGGGTGTCTTGCAAATGATGAAATACGCTATTAGCAGTGTGACCTCACACACTTTACTTGACATCTGCAAGCTCCCGTCTACTCGTCTGTCATGAGAGAGCAACGAAATCATCCACATCTTCAGGTTGGTCTCAGTTTAGCACATGCCTTTCGTTCAGTGCTGGCTTAGGCTCTTAGACCACCCTCAAAAAGTCCCTCCTAACAAAAGTTAAAATAACAAAAAGTCATCCAGAGCCAGGCTCACTCTGAGCTCTGAGGACAAGACACAGGGGCTACTAGGCAAAGTTAAATAACAACATAGAAGACAGTGGGACAAAAGAGCCAGGCTCTGCGGTTATTGACAAGTTCTACTCAGCTCAACAAAGAGCTATTATTACTTTGTATATTTTAGGAGTGGAAGTATAAAGACAAAGACAAGTTTCTTGGATGCTGAAGATCTTAAAGTCTCTCTGGCCTGGATGTCAAAGCACAAGGGTAGAGATGGAGAAGGAAGCTGGGGAGTTCAAAGGCAGAGGAATTGGGAGTGGTGGTTAGCATTTGTATGGGTCATTCATAAGGCCAGCCCCACAGGGAAGGGGCCTACTGTTATGCTTTTTAACCAGTGGTGGAAGAAATAAAATCCAAGAACCGCCAAGATCATATCATTGGAAAGCAGGCAAAAGCTCACATTAAATTGCCCAGGATTTCTAGAGACAAGAATCCATTTCACTATTGCTCTTATTTGGCAATAAGCAAAGCTCAGGACACTGGTGAGCCTGTGAGAGCAGCAAGAGCATCCAGGGAACGGCCAGATGGAGAACAGGACAGGTGGCACAGTCCACCCAGGCAGGGTGGTTTAGATCTCACAGTCTAGGGGACACTGTATTTTTAGGCTGGAAAAATTGGGTTGGTATTTATTCCCTTGTTATCTTTGCTCTTTGAAGCACTCACCACCTCCATTATGCTCGAGGAGAAACATTAAATGGTCCAGTGAAAGGAGGTGCTGCGAGGCAGGAGAACCATCTGTCAGGTCTTTGGTCAACCACGGCCAGTGGTCCCCAACATTTACTTGGTTCGTCTGATGTGGAAAATGTGGATGGCCTTCTCAGGAGTGCTACTTCTATTAAAGGGCTGGAATTAAAAAGTCATTGTGAAGCACCAATTCCAGCTGCAGGAGAGGCCAAGTATAACAGCTATATCCTTATTCCCAAGGCTTCCTTCTCAAGGATCAACCACGGTGTGCCCTCCCAGGAGGCAGGCCTTAGACTTCTGGTCAACCCAGGGAACCCCATGTTTGCTGCCTTGCCTAGAGTATGCCAATTTCAAATTTGGGCCTGGAACTAGCAAGTCACTCATCCAAATAATCAGTAAGGCTCCGAGGGGCCACTAGGCACATCAGTGACAAACATTATGCTCCCAGGAGTCTCAGATGGGCAAGAATGGGCCTGCAGAGGGCTCGTGAGCACAGAGGGAGCAGGCTCTGAGCTCCTCTTTGGGGGTCCACAGAGGGGCATCTATGCCTTGAAGCTGAACAGAATGGTCCGGGCAGAGTACACAGCACATTCAAACAGTAGAGGTAGGAGTGAGAGACTCGTGTGGGAAGGGCTGGGAAAAGTCCAGGACGCGGGGCAGGAGGGAGGTGGGGCCATGGTCGTGAGGGCCATGAACATAGATCATACCGAGGGCAGGTTTGACTGGAAAAGAGAAGAGGCACCATCAAAAGATTGCAATGCAATGGCATGAGAATTCCTTTTCGTTATTTTGGAGGGACGTGGGGCACACGTTAGAAGCAGGAAGATCAATTATGAGGCTACTGCAATGGTTCAATCTTGTGTCATTTTTTGCCTGAATAAATGTGAAAGATTAGAGAAGGGAACTGCTTTCAACAAACAGCAGTCCACCTTTTTCTGCAGTCTTGGAGAGGTATTGACTGTCTTTTACATCCTGTGGGGGGAAGCGTTACCAAGAAGTTATATTTAAGAAAGAAAGGAAGGAAAGAAGAAGGAAGAGACAGAGGGAGGAAGAAAGGAAGGAAGGAAGCTATATGAAGTTAGCATCACATCTGAAAAGGAACTTTTGTAAAATATTTGCGTCCTACCTTAACATATCTTAAACTGAATAAATCAATCAGCCTGGTGCTCAGCAATGCAGAACTCAGGATGGCAGCTAACAGTAATAATCATTCCTGACTGAGTATACCTATTATTTATAATAATAATTGTGCTTATTATATACAATAATTTAAAAAACCGTCTACTTAATTGGATTATTTGTGTAATTGGAAGTATTGGTTGATCACAATATTTGGTTATTGAAACCTCTGCCATTGTGTGTTGAATGCAGTTGACATTATGATCTTTGTCTGATGATTTAGGTTCTTTAAGGGCTCAAGGTCAT